TTAATTTTAGCCATTCTGACAGATGGGAGGTAGTATCTCATTGCAGTTTTGACTTGTTTTTCCCTGATGATGAGTCATGTTGACCATCTTTTCATGTGTCTTAGCTATTTGTATGTCTTATTTGGAGAAATGTCTGTTCATGTCTTCTGCTAATTCTTAACTGGATTATTTATTTTTGGCCATGTTGAGTTTGCTTAAGAGAACTTGGTTGTAATGGGGGGAGGTGTTAAAATCACTAGGAGGTAGGAGCAAGTCATATTACTTAGAAAATGTTATTGGGAAAATTGGGTCACTATATAAAGAAAATCCTGATCTCATGCCATATAAGAATAAACTTTATATGGATCTAAGAGGTGAATTTAAAGTATTTTAATTGAGGAAATGTAATAAATCTAGGTAAAAATATATTTATGACCATACTATTAGTTTGAGTTTCTTAAACAAGGCTTTAAAAGTACAAAATAAAGATGAAAGTTGACAAATATTTCTATCTCAGAACTAGAGGACAGCATAGGCAAGATAAAAGACAGGTAGAAGCTACTTGCAGCAGTTTACCTGAGAAGGATTAATATTCAGATTATTCAAATAATTGTTGCAGATAAGCAAAAATCAAAAAGTCGAGAGACAATAAGATTTTTTAAAGGATAAAGGGAAAAGAAATTTTAAAAAGGGAAACCTAAGTCTGAAAAGAACTTGAAATGATGCTTGACCTCATTAGTTGGTGAAAAAACATACTACAATAAGACACTAGTTTACACCCATTGCATGCGTAAAAATGAGAAATTTGCATAATATCAAGTGGAACAACAGGAAATCACATGTACAGCCCACTTTGAGAGATTTTCATAGTACTTAATGAAATTTAGAATGAATGTACCCTCTGATTCAGGAGTTCTACTTCGGGTAAATAAGACAAAATTCTTTAATTTTTAATTGAAGTATAGTTGACACGCCATGTTATAAGTTTAAGAGGTATAAGTCAGAAAATTTCTTTCACGGATTCACAAATGATATATATAAGAATGTTCATCTTGGAAATCAGTCCCAAGGATAGGAGTCAATCCTACATATCCATCAGTGAAACAACTGATAAATGAAATGTGGAAAAGGTTTCTGAAGGATATTTTATTTTTTATTTTATTAGTTTTTTTAGTGTTTATTTTATTTTTGAGAGAGAGAGAGAGAGAGCGTGAGCGGGAGAGGGGCAGAGAGAGAGGGAAACACAGAATCTGAAACAGGCTTCCAGGCTCTGAGTTGTCAGCACAGAGCCTGATGCAGGGCTCGAACCCACGAACTGCGAGATCATGACCTGAGCTGAGGTTGGACGCTTAACCAAATGAGCCACCCAGGCACCCCTAAATGCCAAATAATTTAACGTTTATTTTATTTATTTGTTTTGAGAGAAACAGAGGCAGCATGAGTCAGGGAGGGGCAGAGAGAGAATCCCAAGCAGGTTCTGAGTTGCCAATGCAGGCCTTGACGTGGGGCTTATCTCATGAACCATGAGATCATGACCTGTGCCAAAATCAAGAGTCAGACACTTAACTGACTGAGCCACCGAGGCACCCCCCCCCAGATATTTTGAAAGGAAGAAAGATACTGAAATTTATGGCACAGTGCCATACGTATCTATGTAATACATAATATCTTATATATTTGTAAATATATAAATAAGCATATTGTAGGAGAGAAATATGGAAGAAATGCAGGAAAGAAGATGTGTTTAAAGCAGAATAAGGGACACAGAAGTGGGAGATATACCAATGTCAATGATAGAGATTGTGTCTTCCAAGAGATTGTTTTAATTGATTGCAGCATTATAGAGTTGATTTAGTATTGATTAGTTGAAGTTGGTAAAAAATGCATATTATTTCTCTATCTTCCTGAGGTCAATTGCCCATACTCTAGGAAGCTAAGAGTTGTAACTTTGAGACATAATAATATCCTTGAGACTTATTTTTCATAAGGATGGTATAGATTATGTAGACCAATGCTTCCACTGAAAAAAATTAGCTAATAAGACACTAATATATTATCAGGTCACAATTAATGTCTAAGGGTAATCCAAGGAGATAAATGAACCTAAAAACTACCTTTTCCCTGGAATCTATAGAATCCTGGAAAGTGTTTATATAATAAGGGAGGTTTATATTAATAAGGTTTATATTTTGATGGTTTATATAATAAGGGAGGAAATCAAAGCATAACAAAGTGAGAAGTTTATAGAAGAGCTCTGCATTAATAAAAATGGATCCCTAAGAGATATACCTTTGAGATGAAAGTAAACTGGAAATGGGCAAGTCCTTGTGTGGAAATTCAGCTCTGAACTTGTTGGTGGTTGTTGACAAGTAGTGCTTCCAGATCCTGATGGAACCAAAAGCAGACCTTCTATGTAAGAAAGCTCATCCTAAGGCTAAAAACATTCATATAAATAAATTTTCCATTCTTAACTTGAACAAAGATACCTGCATACACAAGGAAACATGACACCATGAGTGAGAGCCAGCAGAAAAAAAAAACAGAACACAGAAGTATACCTCAAACATTTTGATTAGCAGACATAATCTAATAATATACTGAACACTTAAAGGTTATACTTGAAGATGTATAGGGAATAAGAAATGTGACAGATTATTAAAGAACCAAATAGAAATCCTATATCTGAAATATATAACCAAAATTTAAATTCAATCAAAACTCAATAAAAGGTTTATTAGGAAAGTAGATATTACCAGATGAATAATTTGAGAAGTGAAAGATAGGTCAGAATATAATTTATCTAGCATATAGCTCAGAGAGTTCAGAAGATGAAAAATATGGAGGATATGGTTAGAAACATAGGACAGCTAAAAAGGTTTAAGATAGGATCAGAAGCAATATTTGAAAAATATTGTAGGGATGTCTGGCTGGTTCATTGGTGGAGCACATGACTCTTAATCTTAGGGTTGTGAATTCAAGCCCCACGTTGGGTGTGGAGCCCACGTAAAAAATTTATATATATATATTATATATATATATATATATAATATATATATACAATATATATATTATATATAAGATATATAGAGATTGCATAAATTAAAAAAATATATAAAAATGAAAACGCATAGGGAAAAGACATGTAATCTTTAAATACATGACAGTTAGACAGACAGCTATGTTCCATGTTGACAATCTCTAAACTGTGGCACTGAAAACTAAAAGTAAGATATCTTCAATATGCTGAAAGAGATTAGCAAATCTTCTGCCTTAACAGTCTTTGCACATAAGAGTCATTAAATGAGAATCAAATGAGAGAGATCAGTTTGGGTTTAAAATAAACAAGATGGGGGGGGGGGGCACCTGGGTGGCTCAGTCAGTTGGCCGAGGGACTACTGATTTCAGCTCAGGTCATGATATCCTGGCTTGTGGATTCAAGACCTACCCTCAAGCCCCTAGTTAGACTCTGGACTCCGCACACTGTCCTGGAGCCTGCCTGGGGTTCTATCTCTAACTCTTTGTCTGTCCCTCTCCTGCTTGAACTCTCTCTCTCTCTCTCTCAAAATAAATAAACTAAAAAATTAAACAAGATCATAGGAGAGAGGTGGCGTAAAGACATTTGATTTCTCAAATATAACTTCTTACAGTTTTCCTCTGTCCATTCCTTGCCACAATTTCAAGTCCAGGAGTCTGACCTCTCTTCTAGCCATCTTTGTTTCTGGTGACATTCATTTCTAGTCTAGTCTTAGTCACCTAAGATCATGGTCACTTTCTGGAGATGGTAGTCTCTCAGAACTACATCATCTCTGAAATCACAAAATCAAGCACACTCCTAATGTACAGCTTACATTCTTTAAGGGCTGCAATCACTATTTATACCAATAAACCCCAAATTAGCTTCTGCCCCTCAAACGTCTCTTCTCAACTTTATTTATATAATGTAAGATCATTTATAGAACTATTTATATGGGATGCTCTATGGATAATTCAAACTCAACATGTTTTAAATTAAAATTTTTCCTTCCTCAAACCTAAACATTACCTCCAACTCTATACCTGTTTCTTTCTTCTCCTCTTCCTGTTTTTTTCTATCAGTTAATAGCACCAACATTCACTCCATTCCCTAAACCTGAAAAAAGGTACATTTACTTCACTTTTTCTTATCAGACCTCCTCCATGTTTAAATCTGTCACACATCCTGTAAAGTTATCATTTTTTAAAATGCTTATTTTTGAGAGAGGGAGGGGGCAGACAGAGAGGGAGACAGAAGATCCAAAGCAGGCTCTGCAATGGGCTCAAACTCCGGAACCATGGGATCATGACCTGAGCCCAAGTTGGATGCTTAACCGACTGAGCCATCCAGGCGTCCCTTGTCATCTTTTTAATACAATCTTATTATTGCATTTCTAGTTGAGGTTAATATCATCTCCTTTTATATTTAAAAGCCTTTAAAACATTGCATTTCCACTGACGTAGAGTCCAAATGCCTTGGCAGGGCTTACAAAATATTTGCTTATCTCTCCAGTCTCAGTTCTCATTTCTTTCCTCTTGCTCTATGGCTCAGCCATATTGATCCTATTTTAGTTATTCCAAAACAGTTCTGTCATCTCAGATTTGTACAAGTGTTTTTTGAAATTGTCTGGAAATTTTACTTAACCCCCAATTTTTGTTCCAGGAAAGTGTTTCCTGTATTTCCAAATTCTGGTCAGATGACCCTTATCTATGTCGTTAACAATAGCATATGAACTTTTGCTATCATGGTATTCATTATGTTCTATTTTTATTTTTATTTTTTTTTTTAAATTTTTTTTCAACGTTTATTTATTTTTGGGACAGAGAGAGACAGAGCATGAACGGGGGAGGGGCAGAGAGAGAGGGAGACACAGAATCGGAAGCAGGCTCCAGGCTCTGAACCATCAGCCCAGAGCCTGACGCGGGGCTCGAACTCACGGACCGCGAGATCGTGACCTGGCTGAAGTCGGACGCTTAACCAACTGCGCCACCCAGGCGCCCCATATGTTCTATTTTTAAATGTGTAATCACTTTTCTGCCTCCATCTTTCAGGACAGGAACTATGTCTGTCTGCTTACCACTGTATCGCTAATACTCACTGCTATTCCTAGCACAAGTTATATGCTCAATAAATATTTGCTCGACAAAGTAATGAATGGATGAGTAAAATATTTATAATTATGCCTCTGGAAGGCCTGGGTCTACAAAATAGGTTTATTTTCCACAACTAAACTTGGATCTAGTTTGTTCAACTTTTTAATGTCAGAAACTCGACATATCTTACTTTATTAACTACTGTTGAGTATTTACTTTCTACTGCTGACAGGTAAGTCTCCTACAGAGTATCCCTAAGTAAATAGTACCATTTACCGAACCTGAAATGCCCAGCCTCCCCAAAGCAACTATTTGCATGTATCAGGTTCAGTTACAAATGCATGATCTTATTGTCTTTTCTAAGAGACTTTGCTGATAGCTAAAGAAGACTAAAGCCTCTGGTTCCCCTTTCCTTTCCAATTTTCCTGGGAACATTCTGCTTACAAAATCAATTACATGAATCCACTTAACTATTTGTAGTTATTTTATACATTGTCTTCAAAGAGAGATCATAACTTACTTGAATTGGGGGCTATATCTTACATATGATTTTTGTATTCACCCAGCTCTTAACAGATTGTAGTTTATTCTGTTAAAGACTGAATAGTAATAGCATCGCATATCACAAAGAATGCAACTCAGAAAATAAGAATATAGGAGAAAGTGTAATTTAAATTAATCAATACAGAAGATAAATTAATATTTTGTCTCACACTTACTTGACTTTTTAAAACCTGAGAATCTGCAGTCGCGTGGTGGCGCTGCAGGATAAGATGGGGACTTTTCTGTATCATCAAATGCTCTGGTCTCCATTAGTCAGTGGAACTGAGAGCACAGGAGAAGCAGGAAGGGGGAAAAGAGGATTTCAAAAGAAAGCTAAGGAACCAACAACACCTTTGTGGCAGGATTACAAATCCACAGATTACCAGTGGTCCAGGCTGATAGATAAGAGGAGCAATTGAGGAGCTGTTTGCGACTGAGTTGAAACATTTCTGCAAAAAGACATTTGGCTAAGGAGCCATGGAGTCAGGAGAGAGGTGCCCTCAGCAGATAAGGCAAGTGCTGCTTTTCTTTGTTTTCCTGGGAGGGTCTTTGGTGTGTTCAGAGCCCTGGCGCTATTCTGTATCAGAGGAAATGGAAATTGGCTCCTTTATAGCCAATGTGGTGAAAGATACAGGTTTGGGTGTTGAAGACTTGGTTGCACGGGGGGCAAGAGTCATCTTTGATGACCATAAACCATATTTACAGTTGGATCAGCAGACTGGCAACTTGCTCTTAAATGAACAACTGGACCGGGAGGCACTTTGCCATCTCACAGAACCATGTATATTGCATTTCCAGGTATTATTTGAAAATCCTTTACAGTTTTTTCGGGCTGAGCTTTGGGTCAATGACATAAATGATCATACCCCTGCATTCCTAGACAAACATATACTTCTGAAAATCTCAGAAGGTACTGCTCCAGGAGCCTCATTTCCAATGGACAGTGCCCAGGACTTGGATGTAGGAAAGAATGGTGTCCAAAACTACACATTAAGCCCCAATCCTTATTTCCATCTTAAATTACAAGACAGTGATGATGGAAGAAAATACCCAGAGCTGTTCCTGGACCAATCTCTGGATCGAGAAAAGGAATCTGAGTTTACATTAATTGTAACAGCTTTGGATGGCGGGTCCCCGCCCAGGTCTGGAACTACACTTGTTCGTATTTTGGTCTTCGATATCAATGACAATGCTCCAGAGTTTGAGAGGTCTGTCTATGAGGTTCAGGTACCAGAAAACAGCCCTCTGGACTCCTTGGTCGTTAGGGTGTCTGCTACAGATTTGGATGCGGGAATATATGGAGAACTATCATACTCATTTTCCCATGTCTCCAGAGACATACGGAAAACATTTGAAATCCATCCAATTTCTGGTGAAATCCGCTTAAAAGCGCTTCTGGATTTTGAATTAATTCAGTCATTTACAATAAATATTCAGGCAACAGATGGTGGTGGCCTTTCAGGAAAATCAGCAGTTTTAGTTCAGGTTGTGGATGTGAATGACAACCCACCAGAAATAGTCATGACATCTCTTACCAGCCCCATACCAGAAAATTCGTCGCCTGAGATGGTGGTCGCTATTTTCAGTGTAAGAGACCAAGATTCTGGGGACAACGGGAGGATGGTGTGCTCAATTGAGGACGATCTCCCCTTTCTCCTGAAGCCTACCTTCAAGAATTTCTACACTCTGGTAGCAGGACTCCCACTGGACAGAGAAAGCCAGGCCGAGTACAACATCACCATCACCGTCACCGACTTGGGGAC